GAACGGAACGTCCTCGACTTTCAAGACTTTAAGCAGCTCTTGCACCGGCAGGAATGCAACGGTTGGGCAGCAGTATCCGTGTCTCGTCTTCAACCACTTGGTATTCTTAATACTGGAAGCGAAAGCGGGTGCATTGCAGTGCCTGGATTTAATCCACTTCAGTAACAACGAGCTCGCTGCGACGTTACCAACATAATGCGGAGGAAGGGCCTCGTTCACCGGATCAAAGGCGGGGATGTCCGTAGCCAGGAACTGCTCCTTCAGAAAATTCACAAACTCGGTTCGCACGTCGGGGTCGGAGAGATCGACCGTTGCTGACTCCATATACTCTTCTGACAATTTTCGAACGCCGCGTCTCCACACATCAGACGGGAGCAAGAGCGGCCACTTCGCTCCACAAGCCGCCGGTAGCAACAATGGACGCGTTGAAACATAACTCGCACCATAAGGACTCACAGCTCCGTCATTCTCGACGATTGGTACATTACGCTTTTGGTTGCTGATGGATGTGTACGAGCTGCGGTCGTTTCTGTACAGGTCGAACAGGAAGTGCATCGCTAGAACAGCAAGCTTTGCATCTGAGGAGTTCGCAGTGACTGCTCGAAGAACCTGACGAGCGAGTGAGCATGCTGTCAGTTCGCTCACGCTGAAGGGGGTTCTCTCCAACCAGTTCTCTAACACCGAGTGCTGCCGGATTTTTGCAGCGCAGGCCGATGGAACGAAGTTGAAAGTTAGCCAACGTTGAAACACCTCTGTCCAACCAGCGAGCCAAGCGGTAGCTCTATGACCAGAATCCCAGTATATGGATCTGCCATCGTTTCGCGCGAGATCATCCATGCTTGCCAACTGAAGTCGACCATCGGAGCCTCGATACTTGAGAAACTTGAGGGATCTCAAAGTTGACGACTTGGAGGACAGGAACACCAGCAGCTTGACATATGCATCGTCGGGGAGCGATCTCATCCAGTCTTCAGAGTCGAGGCTTTGGTGATATTCATCGTTGCTCATATCTGGGACTCCCAGGAGTCTCAGCACCGAGACGTAGCTCTCCTGCAGCGTGCTGTCCACTATGTACGAGGGACTTCCTCGCAAGAACCTGGGACACTTCGGTGCGGCTTTGAGGAGCTCTCGGAAGCTGGGGGCGATTTTTCTCGCAAGAGCA